GTTTTTTTTTTCCTCTTCCTTTCTTTCTTTCGAAATACCATGGGGAATAGATAGAAGCTTCCTAACTTTTCTGTTTGCCAATATATCAGTTGTATCCTTTGGCTTATTAGTTATGAAAAGTGATCTTTCTCAGAGGGGTAACAGTGCAGTATGTATTTTCTTTTACACAGGCTGGCGTCTATGTGGTCATATGAAATTTGGCATAGTTTGGGGGTTTTTTGGTTTTATTTTTTTAATGGAGCTACTTTCTTTGTTTGGTTTGGTGTCGGTGTTCTGGCGCCTTCTAATTTAATTTGTTTTGCTGTTGTTAATTAATGAACCAGGTAGCACTGCCTAACCTGGTCAGTTCTCATCCGTACACAGCCTGAAGTCTGGAAGGGACTCAAGTTTCCTGGGACATACATGTGGTGAATAGCAGAGATTAAAATTAGTTTCTAAATTATTAATCCAGATTAATGGAAATAAAACAGTACTTAAATTTTTTTTGTCTTCTCATTTTCATTATTTGTACACACAGCAATTATGAGAAGATGCTGATTACAAAATTGATGTGTATTTACCCCGGACAGTATTTGCTTGTCGTTAACGTGAGGGTAAAGAGAAAGAAAAAAAATGATAGCATGTTATTTCCAGTATTTATATCGTGTCATCTCTCCTCCCACCCAATTCCTCCAATTGTCTCCTAGATTAGAAACGAGTATTGTTTCTATGGGCGTTTTTATTTGTTTGTTTGCTTTTTAGATATTTTCCCCCTCCCCATCACCTGCCTTTCCCCAGTGGGAGTAAAAGAAACTAACAAGGCATATTATTTTCATAGTCCTCTGGCCCGTTCAGATGATGGAAAGTCAATGTGAAGTAAAAGAAAACTGTATCAGGCAGAACTGACACAGCCGTGTCCGGGCTTTCACCAGCACTTGCTGATGCTAGGACGTCTTCCCAGTGACTGGTATTAAGGTAGTAGCAGGTCCATACTAGCAGCGTTCCGAGGGCCAGGCACAGCTGAATTTCTGCCATTCCCGCAGGTTCATGTGCACCTGGGATCGGCCACACCCAAATGGTATCAGTCAACAGTGTATCTATCGTGCTGTGTGTGTGTGTGTGTGTGTGTGTGTGTGTGTGTGTGTGTGTGTATGCGTTTTTAATTCACGATTTCCTCTTGAAACTCAACGAAAGAGTGTTAACTGTGTGTGTGTGTGTTTTTTTTAAATTCAGTTTTGTATGCTAGCATTCTTTAAATGTCTGCCAGAAGTTTAATTTGAATTTCTGATCCCTGAAGGCAGCTAGACAGAATCATTCTAGTTCTTCATAAATTGCCTTCTATGATTCATTGTTAACTCATAAAACATACTCATTTCTATATTCTCAAACAGTTAAGGTAGTTACAGCATCAGGGATATAATTTTTTTTTTGCACTATTTTTAAATTGTCATTTGAGAAAGAAATCAAGAATTAGTTTAAACTCCCAGTTAAGGCATGAGCCCCGTAGCACAAAAAAACATCAGAATTTATTGTTTTTATCTCAAGGAGAGTATGGTAAATGGCCTAGAATCTGGGGGAAAAAAAAGTTTGGTTTTGACTGAATACTCTCATAGAGGGGCCCATAAATAGTAGAACACTGTAGTTAAAAACTCACATGACTGTTTTAAATACTATTGATTTAAACCACTGGCTAGATTTTATGAATCAAAGTGTAATTTCTAAGCTTTGGCCATATTTCTCAATGCTAAAGCACTCTCTCTTGTGTGCCTTTAGCTGCTTTCCAGACATTCAACACAGGATTAAATGATAGTAGTTACAGTGATCAATAGGTTAAGACCGGTACAATCACTCTTGCCGCTAATGACCTCAGTAGTAATGGGCAATAAAGTGTGGGCTATAATAGCCTCTTGCTGGTACTGCACGCCCTTTGATTCCCAGTATTAGTAGGGACTAGCTACATGAAAAAGTTGGACGTTGGGAGTTAAGAGATGGGATACATTGGCTATATTTCTTAACTATTTAAAACCTTAAGCTATGCTCAGATTTCACCCCCCCCCCCCCACTCTTTTCTACGTCATACTGATTTCTGGTCCGTTTGGATATGTTTGTTAAAGCCTTCCATAACCTATTTTCGAGACACGTCGGAGCAGAAACTGGGGAAATCTCAGTTTTATCACGTTTATAATAAATTAAGCTCAAACCCACCTTTGAAAGGCTCACAAGCAAACTGGTGTGAAAATGTGGTTTCATATGGTAAAAGCCAAGTTAAGGCTATCAGGATATAATAGCCCACTTCTGGTTATTCAGAGACCCGATCACCAGGCAGGAGGATTACTCAGGCTTCTTGCCTCTTTCTCTCCTTTGGCTGTGCCTGCTGCTTTAGCATTTTATTACTCATCAGCACCTCCATCAAAATGTCCAAAGGGAAAAAGAAGAGGAGACTCCAGTTCATTTTACTGTTCAGTAACATGACTGCAAACATTGAATAAATAACCCTGGGAAGAGCACGTTTAACTAGTGGCTGTATGTAAGGGTTTATGTCAGTCCTGTGTCTGTATATGTCAGTCCTTTTTATTTTTTTTTAACTTTTAAAATCAATTTTCTTGAACTATAATTTACATACAGTAAAATGCACTCAGTACAGTTGGAAGAATTTGGCAGTTGAGTACATTTGTGTGCCTACCACCCCAGTCAAGATAGATGGCATTTCCATCAGCCCCAAAACTTCTCTTGTGCCCCTTTCAAACATAGGCTTTCCATAGTTCTTTTAAAAATTGTGACCAAGAGATAGATTATTCCTATGATGACTCCTGTTATAACACTGTTAATTTCGTGTCCATCACCAGTTTCGATCTTACACCACCCTATTCCTGTCTGTTTTCCTGTTCATCACCATCAGAAATTTGGCCCAAGAATATTTATATTGTACGTCATCCAAGAAACGCAGAGGAAAAAAGAAACCTTAAACATGGTTCTTTTGTTTGCTTAATCAAACCTGCCTGTGTGATGATGCAACTCTCAAGGAAAAGTAAACTTCTATTGTGATATGTTGGCTTTAGCAGCTCACAAGATAGTGATTGGCACTCAATACATTTTTGAAAAATTCAAAAAGTTTCTTGTGTGTGAAGACAAAGTAGACTAATTGGAATTAATTTGTAGATGGTTAGATGTTTTAATAATGCCTTCTTGTGTTTGCCCTAGATTGAAGGCAAGTTCACTGTTCTAATCATTGGTGATATTTCGTGCTGCAGAGTAGCTTTTTAAAAGGATAATTTATCCATTCATATACATCTGTCCCTTTTTGCATATAAAAATATTCAGACATACCCATCTGTTTTAAATTACAGTGTATCTACATCTACACTTAAAAGGCCACCGCAATAGGAAGAATTTGTTGATGACCTTCCAGAGTTAGGTGAATGAAATTTTTCAAAGGTTCTAGCTCATGTTTTCCAAACAAGGCAAAACTTGCACATAAACATCCCCCTCGCACAAAACATGCCCACAACAACAGTGGAGGATGTTCACTGTACGTGAATCTGACCTTCAGGAACCATTTTTAGTTCATCAAAATTAGTGATGCTGAGAAATCGGGACATCAGTGCATAATGACTGTGAAATTAGGAATGAGAGCTCGCTATGCAAATGACAGGACAAATCATGTGAAAAAGTCAAGATAAACTGCGTATTAAGACATTATGTTACATAAAATTAATACTGCATTTCTCCCTTTTGCTTACTGCTCCCCTGAAAGATTTTTTTAATTCTTTTATCTTCTGATCAGCTATTGTCTGCCAGATTTTTTTTTTTAAGTGGCACACAGGCAAAGTGCAAAACATGTTATTACCTTTTATTGTAATACATGAGATGACAGGAGATCCTTTTTAACAAAGTATATCCTTTACTGCTTCTAGCTTCTTGCTGTCACATGTTTGATTAGAAACCAAAGAAAAGTAAGATGCTTAAATATTACTGTTAGAAGACATACAGGTTTTGTCTTTTCTTTCATTGTTTTTTTTTTTTTTTCCTTTCCTTTTTATTTGGGGGGGGGCGATTTTTCATGAAATAGTCTTCTTGTATTACGGGGACTGACAAAATGGTTCTCATGTAGTCTGCAAATTAAACACAAGTACAGTGATTATTTTGAATAGCTAAATTACATTCTAGAAAGCTTGCAGAATTCATAGCATTGTCATTAGGTATCCGCTTGAATACAATTTGTGTAACCTTGGCCAAGACAGCCTGTCATTTTAATGTCAGTGTTTTATCTGAACAAGACATCATCCTTTCAGATCCAGTGTGCAGGTTCCTTGCAAAGATGCCCGTGCAGAAACGTGTTAACAGTTGCAAATATGAAATGCTATCAAGTTCATCACTGTAGCTGTTTGTCACAGAAATGTCATGGAAAGCAGCTTTTAATGGTATCACACGGAATATGAAAGAATGGAGACATCTGTATGCCGGGTGAATAAGGAAGGGTAAAAGGCATCATAGGAAAGGTCTGTGTTGAAGTTTGCAAGGTGTGTCCAGGGTTCAGTTACCCACAAGACGAAGCGCTCATTGACTGTCCTTAACATCACCGTCCACACAGTCAGTGGATCATATCAGCTCCCACCGAGAAGGCACCGATTCCCATTTGCCTTCTTCCCTGAAACAAAATTCGAGTCTGTATGAAACTTCCCGCAGCTGAATTGTCACCAGAGACTCTTACTAAAGTGACATCGTTCTCACGGAACCCCAGGTAGCATCTGTTAAGCCTTGACTCCTTGTCCGCTTGCAAGACTGGTCTGCACGCCCGTCAGTGCTGCGAGGTCTTCTTGTGCTTTTCTTCATTTCACGTAAAGTCCGTAATCGATGAAATAGGATCGGTTGCCCCGTCCCCTCTAGAGAAACACCCTGCACGTGGGAAACCGGTCGGTTCTTGAAGCAGGCTCGTGACAGTCTGCCGTTGACCCCGGAAGGCTGAGTGCTGCGTGCGCGCCATTTCCTGGCTTCCTATTTATCCTTCATTAACGTTCTAGGTTCCCGTGTCAGTGGCTATGATGACACCTCAAGTTATCACTCCCCAGCAAATGCAGCAGATCCTGCAGCAACAGGTGCTGAGCCCTCAGCAGCTCCAGGTCCTCCTCCAGCAGCAGCAGGCCCTCATGCTCCAACAGGTAACCGCCCATCCTCCTCCTCGCAGGGCCGGTGACTCCATCCGCCCCTCCCTGCCCCTGATCAGTTCCTCTTCCCAGTGAAGGAAAAGCAGAGCAGGGTGGCTGGGGCAGGACTCAGGGAGCAGGTCGGACCCCTGAATAATCGATTTTAGTTTGCGTCCCGGAAAGGGAGGGACCCCGCCTGAAGTGACGGGGTGGGGGTTGGGGGGTCGGGTCCCGGAGAGTCCCCGCCGGGCTGAGATCGGGGCTGTAATTGGACTCGATAAGACTTAGGTGGCTTGAGGCTCTTGTGTGTGGTAAGCCCAGGGGCTTGTAAATGGAGGGAGCCGAAGCGAAATGGGGAGCACGTTTAACCGTGACAGCTCTCAAAGTCCCCGTGTCAACTCAGAAGCTCACACAAGTTTTACTCTCAGACATAACGGAGGCGTCGCAGAGTTGGTTCCTTTGAAGGGGCAGGGTTCTCTTGACTTCGGTGATGTGTGCTGAGGCAGACATGCGCTTCCGGCTGCCATTGTGCCCCGGGGCCCTAATACTCAGCCTTCACGGACACCTGAACCCAAGAGATGAGATTCAGAAGTAGAGAGACCCAAGTTGCTGAGCTGAGGTGGTGGGGACAGGAGGCAGAGGAAGCTGCTCACGCTGTTGGCACAGACTCCGTGACCAGCCCACCACCCCGGCCGGCCCCATTCACCCAGAGAGCATGCGCACGTTGCACAGTAGCGATCCGCCAGGCTCTCTCCCCGCAAGGGCACTCTGGCTTTGTTGTACAACCAAAGGTCATCCCTTGCTTTATTTTAATTAGTTTGTGTAGAAAAAGGTATGTTTTTCACCAGTTCATTTTGGAGATTACTTTTCAAACAATGATGCCAGGAATAGTCAGCGTGCGCTGAAATTTACTGTCGCGTTTCAAGCTAAAGGTCAGGCCGTTACAGATAAAAGGATGCTATTTTTCAAATCACAGTTGTGGATGGCACCGAAAGGGACAGTGGGCTGGCGCTACCCTCTGTTACTTACCGCCCTCTCTTTCCTTTGTAGCAGCAGCTTCAAGAGTTTTATAAAAAACAACAGGAACAGTTGCAGCTTCAACTTTTACAACAACAACATGCTGGAAAACAGCCTAAAGAGGTACCGACAATACATATTTTACTTTCAAACCACAGATCCCGGAGGACGATCTAGTGGCTATTAAACTGTCATTCATCTTTTAAATGATTGCACAACTGAGCTATCGGTTCTCAGCTTTCAGGCCGAGAGTTAGTGTCCTGTTCTTTCTGAGATTTCTCTGGGTTCCGCTTGCTTGCTGCCCCAGGCTTGATGCTGGCACTGCGGCAGGTGCCCCACTGGGGAGCGCCGGGAAGCAGGATGGCGGGCAGAACCTTCGAGGCTCCTTCGGCAGACTGGTGCAGCCGCGGGCCGAGTTGGACCTGTGGGGCAAGTGCAGCGCGTTCAGCACAGTTTTACCTGGACACACACCTGACATTTTCCCCAGCTCAGGGAGCTTGGGTGTGTGGGGATGGCCCTTTCCTTTGCAAGAGTAAGCTCTTGTGAGGTTGGACAAACAGTAAAGTTAGAGCAAGAATCAGCATTCCTGTCTATGTCCGTTTAACTTCTTCTCACAAGTGACATGCCTATGGCAATCGCTCCGGGCAGGTAGGAGACGGTGTGAGTTACAGGGAAGGGTCCTCTGAGCTCGGGTGACTGGCGCATCCCAAAAGCGCATCACCGTGGCTCCTCCGTGCACAGCACTGTGTGAGAGCACGCACGCAGTCCTTGCATGGGCCGTACCACCCCGCGAGGTGACAATGTTAGCTCCGTAAGCGGTACGGCCTTCCCAGGGAGGGTTTCCGTGTCTAACCTTCCCAGTTCCATGTCGGTGAAGGCCAGGCGAGGAGCCTCAGTGTGCATGTGTGCCTTATCGTGACATCTTCCTACGGATTCCAGAGTTGTCCGATGTAACTTGGCCTCCTCACGTTCTTACAACGGACTGGAACTCTTTTCACCTGTTCACCTTGGGATGACACAGTTGGGAGTTTGGAAAACAGACTGCTCACTGTCCAATTTAACAGCTTCTTCGCTGGCCCTAAGCAAGCAGCCCCTTCCGTTAGCTTGGCGGGGAGCCTTACACGGCGACTCTCCACATCCCTACCCCTCACGTGAGTGTGAATGCCGGGCAGCACTGATTTTCCACCCTGGGAATGACGCACACATTCTTCCTTGGCCGGCTCCTCCCTCAGCATCAGTTGGGTACTTTATCCATGCCCTGCCAAGTTTTCACCCTGGAGTCCTGTTCAGCAGCCTGGATGTAAACCCCCGCAGAGTAGGGGCAGTTTGGGGGTGAAGGGGAGGAGGTGTTTCAATGAAAACGCGGACACAGCCTAAGTACAGTGGCACGCTACCGGGCGCTGCTCTAATAAAAAAGGGAACAGATTAAAAAGTGTCTAAAATGTAAATCTAAAGGACTAACAGTAATTAAAATGGAAATGGCACAGGGAGGGAAGGCATGTAATTGTGAGATATCACTGTGCAGAAGGCTCTCAGCTTTGTTTTGCTGGCTGTTTTTCTAATTCAGTAGGGCTTACTCATCAGTGGCAGTTCAATGCGCGTTAATGACTCTGGGATTGCAGGCATCACTCTGGACAAAGAAATGATTATTGTGCGGTCAAAAGAAGTTCAAAGACAAGAAGGGAATTTCAGTTTTTTCCTTAGAGATCCACATTCAAGAGCATATAAATTAAGCCAAATGTTAAAAACCACAGTCTGAAAGCTGACTTCAAAGTCACAACTCTCTAATTAATGAACTGCGAGCTTCAGTTTGGACAAGTTGTGGTTTGATGCGCCCATAAATCAACATGACAGGCCTGTTTCACAGTCTCAGACAGTGCTTGTCATTGAGTCACATCAGATGTAAACACAGCAGAAAAAAGAAGGGATATGAAGGAGGTGCAATTGATCAACAGAATTGGTAAAAACCCACTTTTGAAGCACATTATGCATGATCACAGGAAATGGTTACAGCCTCAAGAGGTTTCCCCTTCTGCTGTTGCTTTTTTGAATCCGATTTCTAACAGCCTTCAAAAGGGAGAATAAGAATTATGGAGTTTCTCCCCTGTGGCTCGCAGGCAATAACCCCCTGTTGTTATTTTGTGCTTCTTTCTTTTCAAAGGCATCAAAATTTAGTTTTTTAAAGATCTTTAACTCTATATTTGAAGACAAACAAAAAAGGGCTGCCACTGTCATTCTTATCAGTTACCAGGGATTGTGTTTTTTCTTTCTGTTGCCACTTCTTATTAACCTCTTATTTGGTCTGTTAGACATAGTTTGGAATGCACGTCTGCACGCTGAGAGAACATGAAAGTTCAGATGAGCTCAGAGGGCAGATAAAGAAATGTGAAGGCGAAAGTTACACAGCAGAAGGAAGGATAAAAGTTAACTCGCCCAAATTGCTGCTGTCAGCAAGGGGGGGGGGGGCGTCTCGGCACACAATTAGGATGGTGGTGTCCGAGTCTGGAAAGGGAGCCCGGGAGAGAAGGGAGAACTCTGGACCAGAACGAGGAGGAGGTGAGACCTTGTAGTAGCCTTTTTTGCATCTGTAGGACAGGAGCTTTGCTGTGGTCCCATTTTTGTCATCCGCTCCCAAGGCGAACGTGATACAAGACATGGGTCGTCTTCACATCCCGAGGGGTAGGCAGACCGGCGGGCGGGTCTCCTTGGATCCCCCCGTGTGTGTTGGTGGTGCCCCTGGAGTTGGCCGACAGCTTTTGTAACCACGATGAAGAGACCCTTATTTTCCCGAGGTAAGGGGGCAGTCTCCTGAAATGCCGATCCAGGTGGTGGTCCTTTTGTGCTACAGTCCAATGGAGTCACATGGTAGCAATTTCAGGATGTGGACTGGTGGTTATGATTTTAACAAGGTTTGAGCTTGGATGTTGACAGATGGAACAAGTATATTAATTTACTGAATCCCCAGTCATTAGTGGCTCATAATTTTGAATCGTCAGCCCCCGCCGCCACCACCCTTTTCCCCTTTTCGATGACCTCTGCAGTAAGACACTTGATCCCGAGCCAGAACAATGTATCTGTACTCAACTTTTTTCTAAAGTTGCCTCGAGATGTTTCCTCGAGAAAGTTAGGCTCCCCATGGAGTTAGACCTGAGACCTTCTTAGGAGACGACCTTCTCTAGCCCCATACAGCTTCTTAAGTGACTGCCCGTTCATATTTGACAGAACGGGTATGGAAAATTGAAGGCAGAATTAATTTTAAGTCAGGCTACCAAAAAAAAAAAAAAAAAAAAAAAATCCCATCCTGTGCGGGTGAGGTAGGCTCGGTTGATTGTTTTAAAAGGGCCGTTTGTCCGGGTAGTTATGACAGTTTATGTTAGGCAGCAGGGAGGAGCCGAAGAAAGGAAAACAGACCTTTGACTGCAGCTCTAGGGAGGGGATCTGAAATGCAAGGTTTATCAGGGCATTTTAGCATTTTAACACTGACTACTGACCTGTCCAGGGGACTGCGTGGAGACCTTTTTTGTGTGCATTCAATTGTGAGAAGTAAACAAACTGGCTCGTATCCTGTGTTTGGTAACTGGGTGGGGAGCGCAGTTTGGCAACCAGTGTTGCTTTTAAATTCTTTCTTTGGACAATGGGCCTTGTATACTTTTATATCCTGGCTTTTCAAACGTGGACAGCTTTCATGAGCTTTTCCTAGGGATGGCCACAGAGACAACAGAAAAGCCATCAGTCATTTTATATAAATACAAAATTTTTAAACATTTCATTTACAGTAAGACAGGAAACACTCTCCCCAAACTCCAGCACCCCCTCTCCATTATTTTTGACTTCAAGAAGAGCTGGTTCCTCAATCTTTTATTGTGTATCCATGTTGTTTTTTTCTCTTCCTTCCTCCTCCTCCTTTTTTTTTAAGTGTCATGAATTAATATCTGTTGAAGAAGTGAAAAAATCATTTTGACACGAATATAACTATCATTGGGTTTTACATTAATGTGATAACTTGGGAAGGGGTGAAAACAATTGGATCATTTTATGCATGCTGTTCATAAAATGAAAACACTGGCTTTTCATTTAAATGTATTTAAATTTTTGTTGTTAGTGGTATAGAATTTGTTTTTTGGAGTGAAACTCAATTAACTTTCTCAGTGGCACGGTAGTAAGTCTGAAATTGGTTGCTAATATGAGAATGACGGTTTTTACTGCAAAATAAACTGCATGGAGACCGAAAGGAAACCACCATTTTTCTCTTCCTTTGAACTTTTGCATCAGAAGGTCTTGATGCACATAGCATTTTATGGATGTATCAGATCAAGGTCATGTGTTAGGTTAAGTGGATGCAGTTGTTTGTAAAGTATAGTTATTAGAACCTCTGAAAGGGTTGTGTAGTCCCTCCTAGTTGCGTAAGTCTCCCTGATGTTCTGAATGATACTCAGAATTAGGAAGGAAAACGGATCTTGTTCTTTTCTCTAAGAAGAACCTTTTTCTTGGGCCACAGTTTGGGAAGGGTTAAGGCTGCTTTCATAATTGTTAGCCATAATGTGGCTAAGACCTCCACCTCGATTTGATTCCTAGTAGATTAAGGATATTAGATAATTTCCTTCTATTTATTGTACTACTGCGCTGTATTATCTTTCTATCACTCAGATAATTACTGAGGAAATCTACATTAATTTTTTTTGGCTGGAGCGAGGCCTGCCGAACACAGGAATGATGTATTGATGTTTTACACAACAAAAGTTTTCCTCCTGTCATTGTCCAATCAACAAAAAGATATTTATCATACCGTAAAGCCCCTTCTTTTCAAGAACAAAGCGGGGCGGGTGAAGCAGGCCAGGGGAGCTGACCTGGGGGTTTCTGAAACTCAAGCCAAGTGAAGGCATCTGAAGCTTAAAGTGTCCTTCATATTAAACACTCACAGTGGAGTACGATGTTGTTTGCTAAATTATGAATGTGTGTAATTAAAATCTAGTGGCTGTTTCTATGAAAGATTTACAATGTTATTTCATCGTTTGTCATGGCTAATTAACAATATTAGATGAAGTTTTTCTTCTTCAAAGGTCTGAGTTTTTCTCATTTATTTATGTCAAGAGTGATAAACAGAGTAGTTAAAAGCTGCCGGTGCAGGCAAGAGGAAACCAGCTTGTTATTCCATACCCCCCCCCCCCAAGGTTCAGGGTTCAAATCCCTGCAGACTGGAATGGTGCATTCCTTCTCTGTAGTGCGAGTGATTGAACATTGGAGAGTCTGGAAGTTCACATCTCTAAAAACTCAGGACTTTCTAACTGTAGGTTTTGAAAAGCTGACTGGACCAACAGAGTATATTTCTGGGCCCCAGGCAGCAGAAAGGGAATGCCTCCAGCATCTCCCCCACCCTCCCCATTCTCCTCAAACGTCATAGGTGCTGTCCTTTGTTTTGTTTTGTTTTGAATTTTTTAATGTTTATCGTCATTTATTTTTGCGACAGAGCATGAGCGGGGGAGGGGCAGAGAGAGAGAAGGAGACACAGAATCCGAAACAGGCTCCAGGCTCCGAGCTGTCAGCACAGAGCCCGACGCGGGGCTCGAACTCATGAGCCGTGAGGTCATGACCTGAGCCGAAGTCGGATGTTTAACTGACCGAGCCACCCAGGCGCCCCGGGTGCTGTCCTTTTTGCACCAGCCTGGACGCTGAGCCCTCCGCCAGCCCCCAGTAAGCCTCGGGCTTTGGCCGTGGCAGCGTGTTGCGAGACACCCACACTTGGAAACTTCCCCGGGAAGCGGCCGTCTCATCTTTTCCTTCCTGGTCTCTTACAGCAGCAGCAGGTGGCTACCCAGCAGTTGGCTTTTCAGCAGCAGCTTCTACAGATGCAGCAGTTACAGCAGCAGCACCTCCTGTCTCTGCAGCGCCAAGGCCTTCTCACAATTCAGCCCGGGCAGCCCGCCCTTCCCCTGCAGCCCCTCGCGCAAGGTAAGCCTCCATGAGCCGGCCGTGAGCCTGGCGGCGCGGCCCCGCGAAGACCGTGGGGCAGAGGTGGGGCCGTCTGTTGGGACAGTCCGGCTAGCTCATCGGTGGGGAGACGGTCCACCTGCAGCAAGCGTGTGCTGACTTCAGAGAAAAGGCTGCGTGAGGTCACCAGGATGAAGGGCTTGTTGGTGGCAGCTTGAAGACCTGGGGTGGTCTGATGCTGAGCGGTAGCAGAGGAATCCCACTGTGGCGCCTTCTTGGAGTACGAGAAAGCGGCACCACCTTGACGTAGCATTTTAATCAGGTCCAGCGTTGTCGGCTTGGAATCACGAATGAATTTTCTTGAAGGCTCTTGTTGGCCACGTTGAGGTGTATTTTATGTCCTGTAACTTGTTCTGTTTGAAAGCTTAGCAGTGCTTCCTTAAATGCCACTTTTTAATTGCTAGGGATAAATCCAGGTTTATTTTTTGATCAGCGATCCAGATGCATCTCTTTGGTTGGGTTTTCTTTTTTTCATTGCTTATTTGCTTTCGTCTCTTGGTTGTTTTTTGTTTATTTTTGAGAGAGAGAGAGAGAGAGAGAGAGAGAGAGAGAGAGAGAGAGAGACAGAGAGAATGTGTGCAAGCAAGGGAGAGGCAGAGAGAGAGGGAGACAGAGGCTAGGAAGCGGGCTCCGTGCTGAGAGGGGAGAGCCCAACGTGGAACTCGAACTCACAGACCGTGAGATCACGACCTGAGAGCCAAGGTCGGACGCTTCACTGAGCCACGGAGGCGCCCCACGTCTGTTGGTTTTTGAGCAAGTTCAGTTCTACGCTCATCAGAACAGCTAGCATATCTAGCTCTTCTCTTCAAAAACTAGAGTTCCTTGAAAATGAACAAGATTTGATGGGTTTCAAAATTTCTTTTGAAAAGCCATTGACGTGTTATTACAAAGTGGGTGTTGAACATCAGAAACAGATGAGGATTCTAGCCATTTTAGGACATCGTCATGGTTTAAGCAACTCATGGACATGCGTAATGTGAATGCAAGTGGATTATTCAGAGGCAGAAAGAAGGAAAAGTATGGAAGGAAAGAACGTATCCTGCCATGTTTTGAAATACCATTCCCCCGTCTTGTGCACGTTTCAGTTGCCCGCTCAGGGCCCCCAGGCTTTGTAATTCTAAAGGCTTGGATGTGTATGTTTGAGCCTTAAAGACTAGTAGCTAATTTTGGTCAAGTCTTAGATTCATTTGCCTTCTGAAGAGGGTTGAAAATGGGGAACCTCCTTCACCCTTCATGGTGATTAAGACCTGCTCATTTGTTCAGTAACTTTAGATGTCATGTGAAGCCAATGAGGCATGTCTACATTTGAATCTTTCTCGAGTCAGCCACACCCAGCTTCTATTCCTTCCGGGGTTTTTTGTTTTTGTTGATGTTTTCAGTGCTGAAACTGGGCTTTTCCCTCTCATGTCCCTCTTGGCCCTCCTCCCCTTTTTGCCATTACTGCCCAACTACTGGGTACATGATCAGCATCTCCAGCGGCTGTCAAAATAGAAGATTTGGTAACCGAGCAATACAAGGGGCGAGGAAAGGACACATCGCCTAATGCATTTTTGTGCTTGCAAAATGTTACAACGTGCATTAATTACACCTTCGGGTTTATAGTTGGAAACATTGCAGGCTGTTCTGACACACCCACTGGACTCAGGCTTCAACCTCTCATCTTTTCCCACCGCTCCTATACTATTAAGTTTGCTCACTAAGGTTCATTGTTATAGTACATCAGTTAAGCTGTCCAAAAGAGGGCAATTGGGCAGTGACAAGACAAGCTCATGTGTAATGTGAAAGAAATGAATGTGCTGATGCATGAAGTGTAATCTCTGCAGTAACATATCAGAGACACCAGTAGGTAATTCACTAGTCATGGCATTGATTGATATGCTTAGCAATCTGCTAGAACTATTAGCCCCTGCACCATTAGGAAGAAGCGTATTTAAAATCTAAGGGGTGCCCTTCTGTGTGCCCAAGATACGTAAATGTAAATCCAGTATTTCTAGAGTCCTGTTCTGGCAGTGAAGTGAAAGCTACCATTGTCATTGCCTTCTTTTGTGGAATCCGGAGCCTGGTTTTGTCTCTCCTACCCCGTCGCCCAAAGTGGCTTGAGAATTCAGTCATGTTGGACCACAACACAATTTTTTTTTATCAGAGACATGATGGCTTAAAACTGATGTCATTATGAGGTTTAAATCAACTTTCTGCTTGCTTGAACATGGTCACCTGGGTATGGATGTACAAGGACAAAAAAAGGTTGATCAACTCTGTTTGTCTTTGAGCCAGTGATACCTGGGGTTGTAAAATTGAGTTCCACGAGCAGTAATCTGTCAACTGTCCCCACAACATACATTTTTTAAGCCTGTGTCTGCATTTTCTTTTATAATGAAGGGGTCGGTTGTCCTGGAAAAAGAAATGTAGTAAGGCACAGAGGTTATGTGTTACAAATGCCAGTGGTGGCCACTTTGTGATGCAGTCACCAAGGTTCTTTTACATACCTGCTCATGGCCTTGGCTAAGTCACCTTAAACATGTATAAATATGAAAGTATGAATAGACAGTAATATTTCAAAGGCCTTTTTTTTTTTTTTGCCTGAAGGCATTATGTTATGAAATGGAAGGACGTTTTTGTTGTTTTTAAGAGTACTCTAGAGTCTTCTCCGGTTTATATAATGAGCACATGGGCTTTTCTCTCTGATTTCTTGAAGCATCTGAATCCACGCCCCCCCCACCCCAAAATCAGTAATTCCGTATAGAAGTATATTTTCATTATTATTCCCACCTTTGAATTTTTAAAATGGGAACTGTAGATTACATGGTTGGTATATATACCTATAATGAATTTAACGTGGTACCGTTATTCCTTTCTACCACATTGGAAATATGTGTGATGCTTTTTGGAAAATTGATAACCGTTTAGTCTGATGAGTGACTAGCTTGCCTTTTATCTGTCTTAATTCTATCATGAGATCCCGGCTGCCAAATAGCAGCATCCTCCTGTAGATAGTACGCACTGAAGTAACAGTTTAACCTCACGAACAAGGTGTAGCATTGATGGAGGAGAGTGATTTGACTGCCTCTCTGTAGATCAGATGAGGATGTTCTTAAACGTAATTATCACAGTCAAATTTGACCCCGAAGTATGCCTGTTGTCAGTGAGTTGCTGTTTTATTTACCATTTCCCCCTGTGAGTGATGAAACGCATTTGCCAGCCCACTGGAATAAAAGGAAAGTGGAATAACATTAATGTACTCTTAGGTGTAACAAGTGTAACAAGACATTTGCCTTTGTCTTTATTGGCTGGATAAACAGCTTGCTGTTCAAAGAACTTCAAAGTTCCACTTTTCTTGGAGGGAAAGTGTTAACGCAGTTGTTCGAAACCGTGTTCTTCCATTTTTTTCACCTCCCGTGCAGCTGACCCAGAAATCAATTAGTTTGAGTTGAAAAATAGGCGGCTTGTTCTTTTCATGTGTATTTACTCCCCGGAAAATAAAAATAGGTGTTGACTTGTGTGGCTTTCTATCAGTATGCTATCATCCACAGACAGGCCCATTCACTCTTGTTTCCATTGAGTAAACAGTGGTCGGAGGGTCAGCCATATTCACAGGTAATTGTTGGTGTGCGGACATCAGTGGCAGGCCTGTTAGCTACAAACACATCCCACATGTCACTTCGGAAGGTGTTTGAAAATAATAGCCCAGATGCAGCAGAACCGGACGCGGGATTGTGTAGTGACCTTTCCCTTTGTTTAATTTGCCTCCGAGGCTTAATTTCAGGGGACAAGTAATAATTGAATATGCCTAATAACTAAATGCTCATTTGGGACAAAATCCATCAAAATATAATTGGCATTTGATTTTTATGAAGGGAGAAGAAAACCGAGTTGGCTGTCGAGGATGCGTTCTAAGAATATCTGACCACTTAATGTATCATTGGAAGCCTCCTTTTATAATATATATTAATTGCAAATACTTGAGCATTTGAACATTTTCGTGGAGAACCGTTAGGAGAGACCAACTGTTTTTGTTAACGCTCCTCTCAGAAAGGCGGGGAAGGTTATTGGTCTGCTGTGCAATAATTTACTCCTCTTTGATATGCAAACGATCCACGGTGAATATAAAAAAATCCTATCAGACTCATTTCACAGTTCTTAACCACTCGGATTCTCTGGAGTCCATTGCCTCATTAGACCAGTGCTCTCCAATGCTAGCATAATTAAAATCTTTAACAGTTTAGCAAAGTAAAGATGTTTGGCTGATCACGTTGAGATGATTATCTATCCATTGTATTCTAAATGACAAAAATAAATTAAATTTAGACCTTGGCATTTTTTATTATGTGTTTCAAATGAATATAATGCACACAGCCTTCTTTTTTAATTCAATACCTTAGGTTTGGTAAGAAACACGCCTGTTTCGGGTGCTTCTATATAGTCAGAAAATGGCAGGCTTTCTAGGATAGCTGTGTTACAGTTGATTGAAACAATGAACTGCAGTCCAGACATCCAGTTCTAATGTGGAATTGCCTTATGCTGTACAGGGTTTACGATTTCCTTTCGCTGTCCTTTAGAAGGAACTGCTGTTTTTTGTTTGTTGGTGTCGTGAGCTACCATGTAGAATCTTTTTCTTCTCTGCCTGTATGTGCTAGCATATGCATTGAGGTGGGATTTGGAAATCATGGGCTGTAGAGGCATGCCTCTAAATAAAAATGATGAGGCCATGATAGCGAGATCGACGTACTGATTCTGTCTCCTCTTGGGGAAGATACAGGTTGACACTTACTCCTCAAGACCCAGGTCCATTTTGACCCCCTTAGGACACGAGAGAACTTTATTACTCCAAGTTTATTTTATGCTTGCATTTTATTCTGCAATGGTTCATTAGCATTGATCTAAGAAATGACAGTAATAATAGTGTTACTTGTTAAAAAAAAAAGTTACACAGTTTTTCAGTAGACACATCCATCAATTAAGCATGTGGTACTAGAAACCAAAATTAATGAGGAAGATAGGTGTGTTAATGAAATAATCATAGTATAATCAATTTGAATGTTAAAAGTTGAAAAGCATTTCAGGAAGACGATATGAATTCATAATTTATGTCTAAAAGTGATTAATAAAAACTATATTTAATAACAAAGCTATTTGTCATCATTTAAGACTTAAGCACAAAAATTATTCATTTTGTGGTTCCTGTTGTCATCATAGTAGAGTTGAACGAATTTATTTTGAGCCCCTTCTTTGTGTCTAAAAATACAACATCTATCTCCTTTTCAAAAATCTAGAAACAACAGTTTGGATGGAAGCATACCGTCTCTGCAAAGTAACTGTGTTTGGAATCCTTTCCACAGAGGTCTTCTATGTGTGACGAGGGCACTTCACCTTGGCTGTTCAGTGGGGGGACATGGTTGTTGCTGACCGTACTTGCCTTACTTGGGAGGGGGGAAACACACACACCAAAAAAAAAAAAAAAAAAAAAAAAGAAAGAAAGAAAAAAGAAAAAAAAAAAAAAAAAAACCCTAACACTAGGCTTTGTTTACTGACTCTTTGATTTAATTACTGTTTGAAGAGGACGGAATTAGCTGTTAATTGATTTAATTATCCAATTTGTTTGTTTCAGGCATGATTCCAACTGAACTGCAGCAGCTCTGGAAAGAAGTGACAAGTGCTCATAGTGCAGAAGAAACCGCAGGCAGCAATCACAGCAGTTTGGATCTGACCACGACATGTGTCTCCTCCTCTGCACCTTCCAAGACCTCCTTAATAATGAACCCACATGCCTCTACCAACGGACAGCTCTCGGTCCACACCCCCAAAAGGGAAAGGTAGGAATGAGCCGCTGAGCTGTGTCCAGAACGGTCTCTGCCACGGGCGGGGTGGGTGGCCTTGTTCAGCCATATCTCAGCGATCCCTAATTGGATCCATGTGACTTGAATGTGCCTATAATTACTTTAAGAATGTGTTCAATATGGTTTGGGTGTGAAGCATCTAATTATTTTCACCTTTTCAGCATGGAATTAGCGCTTATATAGGTCTACCCTTAAGCTTAAGAACCCAGGCAGGGTTAGTTTTTCCCTGCATGGGTTGGATTTCAAGGGTCCAGGCTTATTCTTTGGGCCAAGGGCTCACCCCACGCAAGCTGAACTCCTGGGCTCGAAACACCTTCTTAGGGAGTAGCAGAGTCTGGTACTAGCAATTGTGAGTCACAGGTCAAGAAAAGGTAGCATTTAGTCGCTCTGTACTGGCCTCCTTGAAGGCCTTTTTCATGGTGAATACTCAGCGAAGGTTTGAAGGATGGAGAGCTGGAAGGGGTCTGTGTATATGCACACACAATCCGTGTATATCCACACAAATTAAAAAAAGAATAAAGTCTTCCCTTCCAAAGAGGACTGCAGTGCTGTCTCAGTTGCTCTATTCCCGTTAGGAAGTGAAGACTTTATATTTTACAATTGCCCTCAGCTTCACTCGAATGTTAGCCGACGCCACGTTTGTTTGAGATAGCCAGAATACATCCTGGGAGCAGAAGAGGTCTAAGAAAATGAAGCTGTTAATTCATGCTACTGGATCTCAGCACCCAAAAGCCTTAATACTACTGTTGAATGCTTTTCAGAAGTGGAATATATATAATGCTCCTAAAATTAAAAAGATTTATTTTCAGTGTACTATTTTTAAACCGTTTCCCATCTATTTCGTATGCCCAGCTTCTCCACACAGAAGAAAAGAGACTTTCAAAGTAATGTGTGATAGTAAATGTCACTTCCAGCAGTAAAAACAAATTCTGTATTTTGTTGTTTTTAATAAAAATGACTCAGTGAAAGTTTTTTTAATTATATTTTTCACTTGAGCAATTACAAATATAATTTCATACATTTCGTGAAATATTGAGCATTAAGAAGCCCACGGGTTTAATTAGATTTGTATCTCTCTACCAGCACCATTTTATCCATTTTGAGATCAGTAATCACAGAAACTGCTATGTGAATATTTGTGCCTGTGTGTGCGTGTGTCCCGTTCAAGCTTAAAAACGTGAGAGGGTCTGAGAGATGGAGATAATCTGTTTTAACCGAAACTTGCTACGATCCCTTTAAGATCACTTGGGAGTTTCTGTGGCAGACGTAGGGGAAGTAAAAGGTGTTTTAAATGACTGTTTGGGACAGTTTGAAGGATGGAATGGTGGACTGTAAGAATCTGTGTGGAGCCATTGGGCCACACGTGGCTTCTGTTGTTTCCAGTGAGGATAGATTTGTATGTCCGGAGGCCAGTCTTAGCTCTTGCTTTATTATCTCTTACGGTGTCTTTGTACTTAAGAAACAAACAGAAAAACCCTCAACATTAAATAGCTTTCAAAGAAAGGTTCCAGGCTGTCGTCCCCTGCTGTACTTGCTTTTGGTGTGTAAGGCTGATGATGCCCATTTACTGCAGAGTGATCGAATTACATCTTCTTCCGTAGGCAGAACGGGCCATCCACTAAAAAAATGCCGACTGATGCCCTTAAGGTATTTGTTGCAATCTTGTCGGCCATGTGGAGCCTGCACGGATTTCCTGTGACACAGAAAACTCTTCTTGTTTAGATGCACTGTGCTCGGTTTCATTTTGAAAGGTTCTGTATCTGCAGTCAGGTGATAGATTAGCAATGAGGCAGGTGGGAGAAGAATAGCCCTTTTCAAACATCTTCAGGTGTATTTGAAAGGAAATGGATCTGATGGGCAGTCTAATTCCAGGAGAGTAAGTTTGTTGGAATATTTCGTTTTTTATGGTCCTTCCTTGGCTGCACAACGGTTAGGCTTAATCTTCATTATGCTACCTGGCCAAAATTAGAATATGGATCGGGAAAGAACTTGGGTTCTCCTGAGCCTTAATCTGGCTGTGAAATCAGGCTGAATTTCCCAGTTATACATGTAAAGAGGAGACAACTAGGACATTATATGCCACTCTTTAATATCTGATCTCTCAGCTTATATCATAGGGTAGGTTCCTAGTTGTGGCTGAATTAAAAGAAAATTCTAGTGACCCTATCTTAGCCGAATGTAGTGAACAAGACAGATGGGTACCTTAGGTTAGAGATAATTCAAAAGTTACAGACTTGCAGAATCGATCATTAAAAATTCAATTATTAGTTAGCCAGCTTTGTGTACGTACAGGTGCTTTTAATGAGGTTTTATCTGGTTTTACCTTACGATTGTTTTTTAAATCAGGAATGTGGTATCCTGTTCAGTGGAAAATGGTAAAAAAAAAAAAAAAAAAAAAAACAGCCATCAGTATAAAAATACGTTTTCACCTGTGCGCTGCCCAGAGGTTTCTCGCAGGGGTCCCTTGGAGAATTGTCACCCCTTCCTTGGCAGTGCATGTGTGAAACACGTAACTTTGTGGGCTCTCCGTTGACTTCGGCATGGTATCCATTCCCCCTCTCTGTCCTCCTGGAGCAGTGTCTGAACAAGCAGAAGCCTCTGTCGCACTGAATAATAATCTAGCCCTTCAAACTCCCATCTCAGGTGACCAGCTTAGGAATTCCTCCTGCAAGGATTCAGGAATGCCCTGTGTGAAAATGGGTTGGAAAAAGGCAGCATCCTAGGGGTTTTTGTTTTTTGAAGTAGTCACCTGTCTGACAGTCTCACCGAGGTCACGTATTTCTGTGTCATTTGGAAACCGCCTCGCCCCCCCCCCCCCCCCCCCCCCCGCTCTTGCCCCCATGCGTTTTGCGGGCTCCTGTGAGCAGCCGCTGTAGCAGCAGCTCTGGGGTCTGGTGAGCTGCAATCTGTTAAGGAGATAAATAATGTGCTTGGCACGACACTCCTACTCTCCTCTTTAATTTGTCTTACACAAGGAAAATTATAATTAAATCATTCAGGGTAAACCCTTGAGTGCAGAGAAGGGAAAAAACACACTTTGGGAAAGATTGCCAATAGAAACCCACTTCCCTGTTGCGCAGGGTAGAGACATTTATCAATATTCAGCACTATTACGAGAGGAGCGGCCCATGTGATTTGTGAGGCGGATGCCAACGCTCAAATCAAGGCTTGTTAAGATCCTGTCCCTGCGCAATCACGGACATTCAGCATCATTAGAATTCAGTACTGGCGCCGTGCTTCGTGCTTTGATTTTCTCCCAGCGATTTAATAATGTTTATTGTGCTGATTATATATACGTTCATTGGTGCAATAAACATACCTCGGTTGCCAGCGCCTGGGAGAAGTGTGGCGAAGGTGAAGTTCAGCGGGCAGGAGCTAGAGGTAGCTGAAGAGGAAGCAGGCACGTTCGCCTCTCTCACTGCCATTTTATTCCCGCGGACCAGGGAGCCGTGACGTCTTAGACGAAGAGATGAAACTCAGACCTGGGATACCTGTGAACGTGAAGCTGTGATGTTGTTTCCTTGACTTGCCTGACTGTCTTGCTTTAGGAAATTCCAAGTTTTGGTGTGGGTAAACAAAACCAACGGAATGCAAATGAAACATTTATTAAAATGCTAAATTTAGTAAAGCCCTTTGAGCTTCTTGGATCAAAGCAGCTATGTAAATACAAATAGCAATTACTACTTAAGTAATTGCCTGAATTAAAATTCTAAATATCACATTATATTATGGTGCACTAGGGAAAGGAAAGTGAACTCACATTTAATCAGTTCTTTCTCTGTCCCGAGCACTGGCTAAACTCTTGTGTTGGGAGTGATGTCTCATTTTATCCTCGAGACTGCTGGGAAGCAGTCGGGAGTATTAGACCCATTTCACAGACAAGGAAATTGAATCATGGAGATGAAATAACTGACAAAGAGTCACAGAACTGGTTTGTGGCCTATCCAAGATCCAAATTCAAGCCCGTCTCTTACTAAACAGCACTTAAGGTGTTCATTCAGCCCAGAAGTGAATATTTAATTACGATAAGAATGACGCTCCTAAAATAAAGTTTAAATTTAATTTAAAGCCAACAAAACGTATGCTGACTTCACCTACTGTGTGCCTATCAGCACATTTTATAGGAAAATAGCAGAGTTTGCTCTTTTAAGGCAGTACTGGTATTTACTGGGCCTTTCCTAAAGGCAGGGGGCGGGTAGGTTTTGTAAAATATAAACCACTCACAACGTGAAACAGCACAGAGGGAGCAAGAAGGAACCCCATGCTGGATTTGCACACAAACGCCAAGCAAGCCTCCCTCCCTCTGAAACTGTCCCGCCTTTACTCCTGGCCTTGTGAATCTCGCGTTTCCGCATCGAACGCCTCATACGTTCTTTATCCTGTTTCCCTTGTCCTCTGCAGTCTGCATTAGAAATATTCCAATTTTCTGACCCTTCCCAGCTTTTTGCTTTCAGTTCAGCCGCCGCTAGCTAACTTGAGCGTCGCTGAGAGTCACAGCTGCTCTAGGTGTTAGCGTCGAGGCTTCCTTAAGCACCTGGCGGAAAAGGTTTCTTTCGCCTTTGGCAAGACCATGGTTGTGCAGTCTCTTCTCTCTCTGCGGCTGTCCCGTTGTGCTCAGGATCAGGTGGCCCACGTTGGGCCCCTTCCCTAACCTGCCCTCTGCCCAGTCCCCGTGTCCCTCCTTCCTTCTCGTGTGTTGACACAGCCCCTTGTATTCCAGTTGCTTGCGTTTCCCACTTTTCCACACTCCACAGTGGGCAGCTGCCTTCAAATAACCCCTAAAGGTTTTTGCTTGGCTAGTGCACTTTCAGACACAGTCTCTGTTTCTGATTTGTGGCCTCTTGACATACTGCCATGTGTTTGACTACACGAACAATAACATTTGTGTTTCTCGCCCCACTCTTTTCAAAAGGCAAGGAATTCAAACGTGGACAGGCCTGGCATTTCATTTTTCTTTCTTTCTATTTTTTTTTTTG